TGCAAAAAGACATATAAAAGAACAAAAAAAGAGGGTATAAAGCCATATAGAGGGTCTAAAGCTTTATCAAGCTATATAAAATCAATGTTTTCGACATTACTGTCAGAGAACACTATGGACTTCAAACTACATTTATGCAGTGAAAAATTACAAATTACAAACAACAAAGCTCCTATCACTACTAGATAGCTCTTCACTGCCATATCTCCAAAGGAGAACTTCCTTCTACTTACCTATTTCCCCTCTAGAGGCCACCTCTTTTTCACATAGGTTCTTCAGACTACTCCTTGCACTCTACCCACAGATTTACAGTGGTAGAATGAGTATTCTCAGCTGTACAGGCAGCAGAGTATGGAGCAGAGTAGGAACTTTGTTAAAAATAAATCAGGTACACAAAACCCTTGGGGAAGCTCAAATGGTCATTCTTTCCTCAGATTTAAAAAAGCAGTATTGTGGCAGTAAGGAAGATGATAAACAGCCTTCACTAGGTCTCTGTCTCTGTCTTAAGTTACACAGCTCTAATTCATCCTGATTATTTTCTACATCTATATTCACTTGGCATCCTATCACCCTTTACATTCATCCTGGGGATTACCTTGAAGAGTTTCTCCTTTGCTGTTTCTCCTGATTCTTGAATCCCATTATCTTTCCATTCTTTAACTTATTGCTTAATTCTACAGGAATACATCCCCTCATAGCTTCACGAATAAAGTTATATAGGAGACCAACTGACACTTTGCATGTCAGAAAATACACTTAGTATACTCTCATATTCAATTCATAGTTTGGCTGAATGATAAAATTCTAGGTTATAAATCACTTTCCATCAACATTTTGAAGACACCACTCCACTGTCTTCCATAGTTAAAGTCCAGTCCTTTGTGGTATATGGTATGTGGTATATGGTATATACCATATTCTTTCCTATCTTTGAATGCTGGCTGAATCTTCTTGGTCCCAATATTCTGAAATTTCACAATGATATCGTCCTATTTTCATTAATTTGTGTTAGGTACTTGCTGAGTCCTTTCAATATGGAAAGCCAGGTCCTTTCATTCTGGAAAATTTTCCTAAGTTATTTCATAGCTAATTTCTATCCTCCAGTTTCTCTCCTCTATGTTTCTGAACCTCCACCAAATGAACCTCTTGAAGCTGACCTTCAATTGTCTTATCTTCTCTAATCTCCTATGACTTGTATTTTTGTTCAAGTTTCTGGGAAATTTCCTCAACTTTTATCTTTCAGCCCTTTTATGGAGATTTTTCATTCTTGCTACCATGTTTTTAATTTCCAAGAACTCCTTTCTGTTATCTAATGTTCTTTTTTAATAGCATCCAGTTCTAGTTTCATGGATGCAACGTCTTCCTTTATCTCCGAGGAAATTATTCATAAGCCTTATTTGTTTTCTAAGTTTTCTTTACCCTATGTAGTCTCTTTCCCCTGAGTTTCTTTTTCTTTTCTTTTTTCTTTTTTTAATGGGAAAAGAGAAGAGCCATCTTTCATATTAGAGGCATCCTCAAATACTTGGTATCATTGGTTTTCTGCTCATATTTAAAAGAAAGGAAATAAAAAGTTAACTGGAAGCTCTAAATTCATGGGTGACTCTTGCTGACCTTATGATTCACTATTTGGAGATCAGCCTATCATTTGTTGTGAAAATCCTGATATCAGGGTATCAACTGGGGTCTAGTCAGCAGACAGAAACAAATCTTTAAAACAGGAAAAAATGTTATTATTTTAAAAATCATTAAATAGGGGGCACCTGGGTGGCTCAGTGGGTTAAACCCTCTGCCTTCGGCTTAGGTCATGATCCCAGGGTCCTGGGATCGAGCCCTGCATCGGGCTCTCTGCTCAGCAGCGAGCCTGCTTCATCCTCTCTCTCTCCGCCTGCCTCTCTGCCTACTTGTGATCTCTGTCTGTCAAATAAAAAATTTTTTAAAATCTTTTTTAAAAATCATTAAATAGGTATAAAAGATAGTAAATGACTAGAACTCTAAGACAACCACAGTAGCAACTATAAAAATATGTCACCAACTTTAAAGCTAAGTGAAAAATAAACAAGAAAAAAGCCTAGTAACTTACAGAAGGGATTCCAAAAAGCTAAGATACTGATCTATGATGAAATGGTGGGCTACTGCAGAAACATGCTATTCATTGCTATAGTGAGACTTGCTGAAGGCCACTCACCAAAACCAAGACTGTTGCTTGCCATGGAAAATACTGTAGGAACCAACTGTCTGCAGAGCAGTTTACTACAGGGATACAATAAAAGCAGAAAGAACGAAGTCCCTTCTTCATCCTCCTGGCAAGTAGACTTCTTTTTTTTTTTTTTTTAAAGATTTTATTTATTTATTTGACAGAGAGATCACAAGTAGGGAGAGAGGCAGGCAGAGAGAGAGGAGGAAGCAGGCTCCCTGCCGAGCAGAGAGCCCGATGCGGGGCTCGATCCCAGGACTCTGAGATCATGACCTGAGCCGAAGGCAGTGGCTTAACCCACTGAGCCACCCAGGCGCCCCGCAAGTAGACTTCTTATAGTGCCTCTTTATTGGCAGAACCTAACAAAGATTCAGCTGCCAAAGAAGAAATGTGATTTGCAGAGTCTCCAGCTCTAACATCGTAATAAAGGGGTAAGAAGGGCAGGTTCAGAGCTCAGAGACAGTAAGTCAATAACTGGCACAATCAATATCTGGAGTCCCTCATCTTGCCTTATTGTCTGAAAGAGTCCTCTAATCTGTTTTAGAAGGTAAAGGTCTAGCTGCCAGGATTTCAAGAGCCAAGTAGAAGATGACTAGAAGTTCCTATATTTGGTATTTGGTAAGCATGTTGTCAGTTAATACCCAGTTTTCAATACAAAGCCTATCTCCTACGGAACTATGCATGAAGTCTCCCAATCCACAGATGTTTTATTTATCATTTATCAAAAATAAGTCTCAAATGGATAAGGAAGATGTGGTCCACATACACTATGGAGTATTATGCCTCCACCAGAAAGGATGAATACCAAACTTTTGTAGCAACATGGACGGGACTGGAAGAGGTTATACTGAGTGAAATAAGTCAATCAGAGAGAGTCAATTATCATATGGTTTCACTTATTTGTGGAGCATAACAAATAACATGGAGGACATGGGGAGATGGAGAGGAGAAGGGAGTTGAGGGAAATTGGAAGGGGAGGTGAACCATGAGAGACTATGGACTCTGAAAAACAATCTGAGGGTTTTGAAGGGGCGGGGGGTGGGAGGTTGGGGGAACCAGGTGGTGGGTATTGGAGAGGGCACAGATTGCATGGAGCACTGGGTGTGGTGCAAAAATAATGAATACTGTTATGCTGAAAATAAAAAAAAATGTCTATACTTCCTAGAGCAATCTATACTTTTAATGCCATTCCGATCAAAATTCCACTGGTATTCTTCAAAGAGCTGGAGCAAATAATCCAAAAATTTGTATGGAATCAGAAGAGACCCCGAATCGCTAAGGAAATGTTGAAAAAGAAAAACAAAACTGGCGGCATCACATTACCTGATTTCAAGCATTACTACAAAGCTGTGATCACCAAGACAGCGTGGTACTGGCATAAAAACAGACATATAGACCTGTGGAAGAGTAAAGAGCCCAGATATGGACCCTCAAGTTTATGGTCAAATAATCTTCGACAAAGCAGGAAAAAATATACAGTGGAAAAAAGACAGTCTCTTCAATAAATGGTGCTGGGAAAACTGGACAGCTATATGTAGATTAATGAAATTTGACCATTCTCTTACACCATACACAAAGATAAACTCGAAATAGAAAAAAGACCTCAACATGAGACAGGAATCCATCAGAATCCTAGAGAACATGGGCAGTAACCTCTTCGACATCAACCACAGCAACTTCTTTCAACATATGTCTCCAAAGGCAAAGGAAACAAAAGCAAAGATGAACTTTTGGGACTTCGTCAAGATCAAAAGCTTCTGCACAAGCAAAGGAAACAGTCAACAAAACAAAGAGGCAACCCATGGAATGGGAGAAGATATTTGCAAATGACAGTACAGACAAAAGGTTGATATCCAGGATCTATAAAGAACTCCTCAAACTCAACACACACAAAACAGATAATCATATCAAAAAATGGGCAGAAGATATGAACAGACACTTCTCCAATGAAGACATACAAATGGCTATCAGACACATGAAAAAATGTTCATCATCACTAGCCATCAGGGAGATTCAAATTAAAACCACACTGAGATACCACCTTACACCAGTTAGAATGGCCAAAATTAGCAGGACAGGAAACAACATGTGTTGGAGAGGATGTGGAGAAAGGGGAACCCTCTTACGCAGTTGGTGGGAATGAAAGTTGGTGCAGCCACTTTGGGAAAGAGAGTCTTAAGCAGATTCTGCACTGAGCCTGGAGCCCAACATGGAGCTGGATCCCACAACCCTGAGATCACAACCTGAGCTGAAACCAAAAGTCAGATACTTAACCAACTGCACCACCTAGGAGCCCCAAATGCATGATTTTGAAAAATGTTACATTTGTCAATAACACATAAATGTTACAGCAGATATACCCATATACATCACAGAGGAGGCTAGTAGGCAAGCCAAACTTCATTAGAGCATATTTACTGCCTTGTTTTAATTATAACTGATCACATCCAGCCAATCAAACAGAAACATACAAATGAACTAATTACAATTCAATTCTATTCAAATGCAGCTAAGCATGGATGGAAGATTATCTATTTGATTATAAAATCAAAATTAATCATTTAACACAGAGTGTAAAAATTACACTCTGAATGCCAACAATGAGTTCTTTAATCGTTGCTTTTAGATTAAAGCCTAAATAACCCATACATTTATGATAAATATAAATCAGGAAGGATTCTATAACAATATATAATGTGGTTAATTATACTTTCAAAGTGATTGCTTATAATGTATTACTACAAAATAAATGTATAATATTACCCAAAATTATCACTATTTGTATACTGTATAGGTCCATACTTACCTTCACATTTTTCAAGAATCTGGACTGTTTCTCCTATTTCTAAGACCAACCCTTGAGGGACAGATCCTCGAAAGCTGCATATCACTAGGAAAACAAAGGTAAACACACCAATTAGCATTTTTAAACACTGAGAAAAGATCAGTGTCATTGAAATTAAGCACTAAATTTTCTTAAATATATACTTTCCCTTCTTCACTAATTAATCTTTCAAATATGTAAGCCCCTTTCAACTTAATCTGTATTTTGAGTAGTAATATAAAGTAGCTCAGTATATTGAAGTACATTCTGGCAAAATTACTATTCCTGAGTAGTAGGTGTATGAAAATGCTTCTGTAAACAAGTCTCTCTTTCCCTCTGCATGACTTATGTTCACCTGTTCTTCTTGGGAAAATATGTTTCAATTATTTAAGAAGAAATTAACACCAGAGTCTTCTTATCTAATATAAACAGACAGTTTTATAAGGAATCACCAACTAAATATGATTATACTTTGAGAAACAAAGTCTCCATAATAAAAATGTAAACAGAAATTCATGAAATAAAAATCAAATTACAATAGGGAAAATCTGTAATACCAATCATAATTCCATGTTTATTGCAACATTTACAATAGCCAAGATATGAAAGTAACCCAACTGTCAATCTATAGATGGATAAAGAAGAAGTAGTGTATATATATGCACACATATATATACATGCATATGTGTGCATATATATGTGTGCATATATATATATACACACACATGCTGTATATCTGTATATATAGATACACACAATGGAATATTACTCAACCATAAAAAAGAATGAAATCCAAGCCATTTGCAACAACTTGGATGGATCTAAAGGGTATAATTCTAAGTGAAATAAGTAAGTCAAGAAAGATAAATACTATATGATTTCAATCATCTGTGGAATTTAAAAAGCAAAACAAAAAGAAAAAAAAAGAGATAAAAAAAAGACAGACTCTTAAAAATAGAGAACTTGCCAGAGGGGAGGAGGTAAGCAGGGGTATGGGTAAAGTAGGAGAAGGTGATTCAGGGTACACTTATCATGACAAGCATTGAGTAATGTATAGAATAGTTAAATCAGTATGTTGTACAACTGAAAATAATGTTAATATTCCAGTTATTATACTGGAATTAAATTTTTTTTAATTTAACACTAGTCTTTTTTTAAAGAAAATGATCATTTGATTTCAAAATTTATGTAAGAATACAAAGAAACAAGAATATCCTTGTCAATCTTAAAGGACTTCTACTACTATGTATCAAGTCTTATAATCTAAAATCAGTTCTCTGAATGGCTAGTAACAAAAAGACAAGACACAACAAGTGTTGGTGAGGATGTGGAGAAAAGGGAACTCTCATGTACTGTTGATGGGAAGGTAAATTGGTGCAACCACTATAAAAAATTGTATGGAGGCTCCTCAAAAGACTAAAAATAGAAATACCATATGACCCAGTAATTCTACTACTAAGTATTTACCCAAAGAAAATTAGAACACTAATTCAAAAAGATACATGCACTCCTATATTTGTTGTAGCATTATTTACAATACCCAAGGTATTGAACCAACCTAAGTGTCCATCAACTGATGAATGGACAAAGATGAGGTATGTATGTATGTACGTGTGTGTGTGTATAATGGTATTTTACTTAAAAAAAGAACAAAATCCACAGCAACTTCTTTCAAGATATGTCTCCAAAGGCAAAGGAAACAAAAGCAAAGATGAACTTTTGGGACTTCGTCAAGATCAAAAGCTTCTGCACAGCAAAGAAAACAGTCAAGAAAACAAAGAGGTAACCCACGGAATGGGAGAAGATATTTGCAAATGACAGTACAGACAAAAGGTTGATATCCAGGATCTATAAAGAACTCCTCAAACTCAACACACACAAAACAGATAATCATATAAAAAAAATGGGCAGAAGATATGAACAGACACTTCTCCAATGAAGACATACAAATGGCTATCAGACACATGAAAAAATGTTCATCATCACTAGCCATCAGGGAGATTCAAATTAAAACCATATTGAGATACCACCTTACACCAGTTAGAATGGCCAAAATTAGCAAGACAGGAAACAACATGTGTTGGAGAGGATGTGGAGAAAGGAGAACCCTCTTACGCAGTTGGTGGGAATGCAAGTTGGTGCAGCCACTTTGGAGAACAGTGTGGAGATTCCTCAAGAAATTAAAAATAGAGCTTCCCTATGACCCTGCCATTGCACTACTGGGTATTTACCCCAAAGACACAGATGTAGTGAAAAGAAGGGCCATCTTTACCCCAATGTTTATAGCAGCAATGGCCACGGTCACCAAACTGTGGAAAGAACCAAGATGCCCTTCAACGGACGAATGGATAAGGAAGATGTGGTCCATATATACTATGGAGTGTTATGCCTCCATCAGAAAGGATGAATACCCAACTTTTGTAGCAACATGGACGGGACTGGAAGAGATTATGCTGAGTGAAATAAGTCAATCAGAGAGAGTCAATTATCATATGGTTTCACTTATTTGTGGAGCATAACATGTAGCATGGAGGACAAGGGGAAATGGAGAGGAGAAGGGAGTTGAGGGAAATTGGAAGGGGAGGTGAACCATGAGAGACTATGGACTCTGAAAAACAATCTGAGGGGTTTGAAGGGGCGGGGGGTGGGAGGTTGGGGGATCCAGGTGGTGGGTATTGGAGAGGGCATGGACTGCATGGAGCACTGGGTGTGGTGCAAAAATAATGAATACTGTTACGCTGAAAAAATAAAAAATTTAAAAAAAAAATCTTGCCATTCATGACAATACAGATGAACCTAGAGGGTATTATGGTAAGTGAGATAAGTGAGAAAGAAAAAGACAAATACCATATTATTTCACTTTCATGTGGAATCTAAAAAGCAAAACAAACCAAAAAGGGCAGAAACAGACCTATTAACACAGAGAACAAATTAATTGCCAGGGGTTAGGGAAATGGGCAAAATGGATGAACGAGAAGGGAAGGAAGAGGCTTCTAGTTATAGAATGAATAAGTCATGGGGATGAAAGGTACAGTATAGGGAATATTAGTCAATGGTACTATAATAGTGTTATATGGTGACAGATGGTAACTATACTTGTGATGAGTATAGGATACCCTACAGAGCTGTTGAATCACTATGTTGTTTACCTAAAACTAATGTAACATTGTGTGTCAACTACACTTCAGTGAAAAAAGATGCAAAAAAAGTGATAAACCCCTCATCAGAGTGACTCAAAACAAACAACTTCTATAAGAATGTTCACAGCAGCTTTATTCACAATAGCCCAGAACTGGAAACAACCCAACTATTCATCAAAATAAGTACAAATAAAATATGCAATATTCAAAAATACATATCACTTAGACATAAAAAATAAAGATCCACTGGTACAAGTAACACATTGGACAAATATCACAATCATTATGCCAAACAAAAGAAGTCAGATGCAAAAGTGTACATACTACATAGTTCTATTTACTAAAAGATCTAGAACAGGCTAAATTAATCTATGATAAATAAAGTCAAAATACAAGTTGCCTCCAAAGAAACATGGACTGATCAGGTAGCACAAAAAGAACATTCTAGAAAGACAGAAATAGCGTTTGACAATCTGTAAGTGTAGACTTTAGGTAAAATTGTACAACTAATTCAATATATGTGACTGTTACCTCAAAATGGATCAAAGACAATACAAGAGCTAAACTATGAAATTCTTAAAGAAAATATAAGAGTAAATCTTTATGACCTTAGTCAGTGCTTCCTAATACATGACACCAAAATCATAAACAACAAAAGAAAGAATAAACTGAACTTCATTAAATTTAAAAGCTTTTGTGCTGCAAAGGACACCATCAAGAAAGTGAAAAAGAAAACCCAGGGAATAGGAGAAAATATTTGTAAATAATGTATCTTACAAAGGATCTGCACCCAGAGTATATAAAAGAACTTCCACAACAATAAAAAAAATTAAAAATGGAAAGAGGATTTGAATGGACATTTCTCTAAAAAAGATATACTAGTGGCCAGGAAAACATGAAAATGCTCAACATCATTAGTTATTAGTGAGATGCTAATCAAAACCATGAGATGTCATTTCATACCCACTAAGATGGCTATAATCAAAAAGACTGACAATAAAACTGTAGGGATATATTGCTGGTAGAAATGTAAAATGGTACAGTTGCTGTAAAAAATCATTTGGCAGTTCCTCAAAAACTTAAACATACAATTATCATATGATTCAACGTTTCCACTCTTACATATATATCCCAAAAGAACTAAAAACATATGCTCACACAAAAAGTTATTCACAAAGGTTCATAACACAATTTGTAACAGCCAAAAAGTAGGAACAATCCATATATCCATCAAATGGATGACTGGATAAATAAAATGTGGTATATCCATACAATGGAATATTCTCAACCATAAAAAGAGTTAAGTACTGATACATACTACTACATGGATGAACTCTGAAAACCTACACTAAGTTGAGGTCAGACACAAAAGGCTACATATCCTATGATTCTATTCATATAAAATATCCAGAATAGCCAAATCCATGGACACAGAAAGTAGATTAGTAACTGCAATATCCTTGGAGAGGAATGTGGAGTGACTCTCATTGGTTATAGGGATTCTTTATGGAGTGATGAAAATATTCCGGAATTAGATAGTGATAATGGTTATTCAACCTAATAAATATATTAAAACCACTGAACTGTATACTTTTTTAAAATTTTTTATTTTTTTTATTTCTTTTCAGTGTTCCAGAATTCTTTGTTTATGCACCACACCCAGTGCTCCATGCAATACATGCCCTCCATAATACTCACCACCAGAATCATCCAACCTCCTACCCCCCACCCCTCCAAAACCCTCAGATTGTTTTTCAGAGTCGACAGTCTCTCATGGTTCTTCGCCCTTTTTTATTTAAGTTCAACTAGCCAAGGTATAGTACTATCAGTAGTTTTTGATACCTTTTTTAAAAGGCAAAGAAATATAAGTGGTTCTCCTTGACTCAACAAATGTTACTGATACTGCTCAGTTATATTCAAGAAGTC